CTTCCAAATTTTCCTTATGATACACTTACAGGCGATCCTGGTCAATTCCGAACACAATGAAAATAAAAGAATTTGCAGATACTTTCCCAAGGAAACAGGCCATCTTCCTTATAAGATTCTGACAACTAACATTGCATATTGTGATCATGATCACATCAAAATAGGATTGATGATTATTATGATACTTGCAGAAGGATAAAATTGGTTATTTTTTTTTATGATAGATATGATCCTAATGCTTTTTCTGATTAGATATAACAAAAATTTAGGATTTTTTTAAGTTGATGAAAATAGTTGATCATATGAGAGTTATTTTTGCTAATGCTAAATATGATTTAAAATTGCATAACTAGATACATGCCTCAAGGTGTTCCTTAGTACAATTTAGAAAAAAAAAAGGCTATGTAGTGTCCAATGTCTTACACTTGCCAAATGAAACATATGCCACGGTGAGGGTGAGACATGCCTCGGTGCAATTTTGAAGGAATGTAGGCCTTAAAAAGTAGGGTTTATGTTATTTTTTTAATTTCTAATTTATATATACATAAAATTTAACTTATTTACTATACTTAAACGAAACCAAACTTGAAAAGAACCATGCTGCCTCAAACTTGCAATTACACACTACAGGATCCTCATGTCTGCACCCAATCTAGCTGTGTTGCCGACTTTGCTTCACCATTACTTCTTCTCCAATGCCTCTCCTCTTGTTGTCGATTACTCCTCTCATTTTTTTCTTGCCATGGTTGAAGATGAGGGAGGAGAGAAAGTAATTAACTAAAATGATGCTTCTGTGAAGACCCTTAGAGTGGAGGAGAATTTTAAATTGATAAATTATTATCTTAGATTATTTGTTTATGTTGAATAGGGAGTGGGTAGTCTTTTTATTTAGTGTTGCTTGTAGCCTTGTATGGCTTTTAAAGGTCTTAACTTTTTCTTTTTATGATCTTCCCTTGTGGTTAGTATGTTACTTATTTTTTTGTAGTTTTCATTGATTTTATTGTTTAATGAGGTTTACACCTCAAAATGCCTTAAGGCTTATGCCTAGCAATCTGGGTTTTTTTTGTCACTTTAAATGAGCATTCATTTTGGCAACCAAAGATTACTTTCTTGGTTTTTTATTTATTTATTTTTATTTCTGCCCATAGGCGGATCCTATTAAAGTTAATGCAAGCATAGACCACTCTCAACCTAAATTAATAAGTGATGTGTTAGTTTCTAGGGCTTAGCATTTTTTCCTCATAATTATGAATTTTAGAACCATTATGTCTCCATTGATTGATGTATTTGAACAAGCCAAGTTTTAGTTCCTCCCTCCATGCAAAAAACATCTAACAGTATGAAGGAAATTGATAACAACCCCAATTCTTTGACTGCCGACTTTTCAAAGGTTTTTGAGGTATCATTTGATGCGTTAGGTATTGGCATTGGAAGTGTCACAAGCCAAGGACATCATTTAGTTTAGTGAAAAATTAATTGCTGCAAAACAAAATACATGACCTGTGATTGTAAATTTTATGCTTAGTTCAAATACTTAGGCACTGTCATTATCTCTTACTAGTAGAGTTTGTATTGAATTTTAATCAATAATCCATAAATATTTGCAATCTCGATGTAAATTGAATTCTAGATAATGCTAAGTGGGCTGCATATTTTCAGGAGTTAACTTTTTCGGTTTGTCATCAACGAAGTGTTGATTACAAGGCAATTGATTCTTATGTACTTATTATTGACTCTTAATTCTACCATGGCGTATGGATTTGATAAATTAAAGAATGTTTATATTTTTTTTGTCCTAATTTTTATTCTATATTTTATCCTGCTAAAGACACTACAACTCTATATTTGAATTTTGAGTTACTGATGAATACTTTTTTTAAGTTTTTTTAGTTTTTGTGTCCTGGAACTTCATTTCATGTCTTCCATTTAAGTAGGAATTTCCTGGTGATTTGTTGGACACCTTGGATGAGCTAAGTCTATCACATTTCTATGGTCTTCCTTTTAACATGATGTTAATCAAGTTATTTTTCAGTGTCACACCTGTGCTTTTTATTATGTACATTCGATTGAAAAGCCTTTTCAACATGCTCCGTGGAATGATTTTGTTAGGGAATATTAGGAATTCTTAAGTAAAACCTAACTATCTGATGAAAACAGCGAGAAATCTCCAAAAATCCAACGAAAAATCAGAGAAAAACAGGAATTTTATTGCATGAATACAAACTAACGGAAGAAAATAGCAAGATACAATTGATCCTCTATTCGAGAGGACTTTCTATCTCTCCCAAATCTCTAGATTCTGCTAGAGCCCAAAAACCTAAACCTAAGATCTTATATTTCAGCCAAATTCAAGATGTCCTAATCCTAGGAATACAAACTATTTAATGCATACAATCCAAAAGGAATATCTAAACAGTCCTTACATTCAAATTGCCCTCCTAACTCCCTCAAAAAATCCTTCTTAAATAGCTCCCTTGGACCCGGGCGTGCATTCAATGCTTACAGGAGAGGCGGAACTTTCGCCTCTTTTCCGCCTGGGTCGGTCCCGTGTAGACCGGCTGGACCGGTCCAATAGACCGGTCTAACAGATTTCATCATGAATTTTGTTATTGGACTATCCATAACTTCATATGAACATGATTCTCTTTTTTTAATGGTAGACTAATTCTCTAAGATGACACATTTCATCCCTTTCTCTAAAACTGCATCAAGTCCATATTGCTAGGTTATTTTTCAAAGAATGTTAGATTATGTCGATTAGTTTGTTTTTAAGTTTATAAATGTAATGTATGTTTTATCAGACATTTTGGTGAACTTTATGGTAGATATTTGGTATTATTTTGAAAATTTTTCTGCATTCACTCTATAGACTAATGGCCAAAATGAAGTAGACAATATAATCATACGAAATTTATTTTGTTGTTTGATTGGTGATTGTTTAGGTACGTAGGATTTAATGTTTGCTATCATAAAATTTTCCTAGAATATTTTTTGTGCATTGCACTAGTAAGAAATTTTCTTTCGAAATTTTTAATGGTATGCAATATAGAAAATTAGTAGATCTTCTGTCATTATTTTAGCACGCATTGTATTTTCAATATGATGCATTTTTTGCTAAGCATATGTAAAAACTTCATGATAATACAAAGTTACAAATTACTAAGCCAAATGAGAAATAGAAAATAGTTGCTGCACTTTATAGAGGAAAGAAGTAATTTAATGAAGTTGATTTTGTTTTTGTTTAAATTCAATTACAACTCTTTCCCCCTATATACATTGACATGCTCCACTCAAGATTTTCTTGCCTCTGTAAAATTATTAGGAAATTGGGTCTAAATATGTATTTTATTGATTTACCTTAAGAATTTAATTTGAGTCTTAAGATTGAATATTTAATAATATATTTGGGGATTTTTTAGCCTCTTGTTCCTATAGTTATGTTGTAGCACCTATACTTCCACCTATCATAACTACACCAACTTCCAAAGTGGATTAGATTGTTACTTATGAAATTATTATAGCTCCTTCAATAGTGCACGATATCTAATATGTTTGATGAATCAACCTTCTATTAAAGACTTTTGGATAACACAAGATTAGTTGATCATGCAACATCTACTTGACCAATACTGTATATTTGACTCTTTGGAGGTTAGTTCTTTTAAGTTTTAGTCCCATAGGAATTGATACAACACAAGAGTCTAAATAAGTAATATAGCTTAGTCCAAATTTTTATATTGAGCCCAATTATTTCATGATATTTAAATTTATTTTATTATTTAGGTTTATATTACGATTTTGGATTTATTCTATCTGGTAAAATTGAATTATTCTATGGATAATCATGGTAGATTTGAATTGGAGTTACCTTGTAGGCTTCTAGTTAATTTAAATAAGATAAGAGTTTCTTTGGATTTATTCTATCTAGTAAAATTGAATTATTTGATAATCATAATAGATTTGAATTGAAGTTATCTTGTAAGATTTGAGTTAATTTAAATAAGATGATTTTATTTAAGTTTAAACATTTTCCTATTTCCATAAAATGGAACTATTTATCAGTGAATGAAATCTGAAATTATTTTTTAAATCTTTCTATTTTCTCCTCTCTTCTCGAAACTCTTTCAGCTCTTTTTTGTTAAGAGTAAACAAATCAAAACAAACAAAATAAAAACAATGGAGAAAGGATGCCATAATTCATGTGGAATATAAAAAAATGTGAAAAATATCACAAAGCCACACTACACCAAAAAAATTACTATTAAATGTGTAAAAATTATACAGATCTTCCGCTTACTTTTTTTGCAGCCTTCGCACTCTTTTATAGACTAGAGCATAGCCATCATTTAGTTACAATTCAAGCAATGCTTGAAAAAAAAAAAGACTTGGTGGATCCGCAGCACCTTGAGGCTCGGTTCTCTAACTCTGCAGGTCTTGTGTGCCCTTGTGTTGCAAAAAATAAATAAATTTGAGGGATAAGCCCTCAAACCTTAAGCAGGTGGTGCATCCCCTTGCGACATCCCAGATAGCTCCTCGTTGAGCTCAACCAATGGAATTTAGATCATAGTCAACAGTTCAACTCGATTGCTCGACACCATCAGATTTTAGGCAGAAGAGCATTTTTCTCTCTCTCTCTCTCATTGTGACCATTTATCCAAGACGAGATAGTGGATGTAGGTGGAAGGAAGAAGGTAGACTTATAAGTTTACTAGATAGGGTTATTGTGAAAGGATAAGGAAATGAGTAGATCAAAGGAACCTGGCAAAAAGTTCTGTATATTAAAATACTTGTTTAAATAGAGTAACAATGCTAATTAGCATTCAACATTAATGATTGGAGGAGGATGATTCTTAAATTCATAACTAAATAATAAGGATAATATTAGTAATGATAACAATGTCTCTAATTAAAAAAAAAAAACAAATTCTGTCTTCTATAGTTTTACTACACAATCATCATTTAACATACCAAAAAATGCATGTCTTTTTTATGCTTTTCAGATGGCGTTTCGGATCTTTCTGTCACTGGAAGTTCTTCTAAGAATAAGTTTGCAGCTCAAACGAGCCAACAGGAAAATATACTCCCCCTTCCACCAGTGGCGGCCATCACTCCACCGAAATCAACCTTCACTTTAAACTCAAGTTCTTCCATTTTTGACCATGTGGATGTCTTGAAAACTGATCCAACCCCCCCAAAACCCCTTTCCATTGAACCAAAACTAGTCCTTCCTAAAGATGATGGTTTCCAGAGTCTCGACACAATCGTTCGCTTCAAAGACGCCGAGGCTAAGCTGTTCCAAAGACTATCTGATGAAGCTCGAAAGGAAATGGAAAGTTACCGTCAGATAGTCTGTGCCAAAGCAGAGAAACTGGAAGAGGAATATGCCACCAAGCTTGCAAAACTCTGCCTGCAGGAAACCGAGGAACGTCGCAGGAAGAAGCTTGAGGAGCTCAAGTTCCTTGAGAACTCGCACTGTGATTACCAGAAAATGAAGATAAGGATGCAATCAGAGATAGCTAGCTTGCTGGAAAGAATGGAGGCAACAAGGAAGCAATGGGTATGAAGGTTTTTATATGTTCTGTGAAAGTACTTAGCTGGATAATTTGCTAGTTATGATTTCTAAGCTTGAAATGCTGTACTCTAAACACCTTCCTGTGCGCATTTATGTTGTCCTCTGACACTTTTCAAACAAATTCCTACTAGCTAGCACTAATTGTTCTTAATGTAGCAGGTAGACTACCAAGATTGTCAATTGACTGCATTGATACTGGTGATGTATAATTACATTCTATGTCCTTGAAAGCAATCATCGCAACCCAGCTAGCGGGATTTGTCGTGTGTTTACTACTGCCTGATGTATTGTTATATTATTGTTGATTGATGATATAACATATAGGGTACTTTTTTTGGGGGGAAGTTATGGGGGTGCTTTAAATTCTTTTTTAGGATATATGATTTGACTTGAAAAGTATTGTGCGTGATTGAGATTTCGTTTGGGACAGTTTTTGTACTGTTTTTTAAAATAGCTTTTTAGTACAAAAATTTTAATTTCAAGAAATTTTTGCACAAGAAAGTCATTTTAGAAAGGAAGAAGAAAGCCGTCCCAAACGAAGCCTGAGTATTGATTCGAGCATGCTTATACCACCACGTGGTGGAGGCCTAATTTTTGTTTTATAACATTTGCGCCTGCGTTGTTATGCATGAATGTATGTGTGAATATGCATGCACTTACAAATACTGTATATGCAAATGTTGTATGCCTGCTTCCACTTGTATGTTATGTGCCTTGGCAAAATTTCATACGCCATATTTGCAAATTGAATATTTAGCTTTCGTTTGGGATGACTTTCTTACTGCTTCTTAAACTAGTTTTTTTAAAAAAAATTAAATTTTTTGTATTAAAAAATTATTTAAAAAAACAGTAAAAAAAGTCATCTCAAATGTAACTTTAATGTTTGTTTGGGGTGATTAAAGTTATCCGTAAAAATAAGTTTATGATTGTTGTAATAAAAAATTTTAAAATTATGAGTATTATTATTATTATTTTTTTTTGTTTTGAAAAACTCATATGTTAGTTTTGTTGTAGCTATTGCATTTTAAATAGATTTAGTTGTAAAAGTTATTTCTCATATATAAAATTTTGGAAAGTTGCAACAAGTTTTTATCAAATATAATTCAAATAATCTTCTAGAAAATTATACTATACTATTGAGAAAAGTTGATCCGAATGGGCATAGTTTGTGTTCTAGCAAATGTTCTGTGGAGATAATTTTGCCTTTGGTTTCTTTTCGTAGTGGTAAAAATATCCAATATCATTTTATCCTCATCTCACACTGCTTCATAAATTATGCTCGTCAGCTGTCGGTGACCACAGATTTGATGTTTTCTAAGAGGAATGAACTTCGATTAGAATGTGGAGAACATTTGTATTTCCTGATTTATTTATTTGGGTGGAAATCTGATAGCCGAGGCTCAATAAACTATTATTGGAGAAACAGATATCAGATGGGTGGGAAGAACTCTGGCTCCAGCAGACAGAACCTGGAGCACCAAAATTTAAACACAAATGGACCTCAGGTAAATAAGCTATGGGAGAAGAGCAAAATAACCCAAAGGTAATATAAAAATGAAAAAAAAAAAAAAAAAACATAGTGATTCAGAGAATTTGAAGATGCGGAACACACGGGAGAATAGTATCGGTTTTTGATAAAAGGAGAAAATTACAAGCAAGAATAGTCAACAAACAAGAGAGATTCTTCTATGCGGACGCCGAATGCAGTTTATCATTTAGAGACCAACCAGAATGCGCCACGTTAGCGGTACTGAGCTCAGTACCAAGCCATGGTTCCGAGTGGTACCGAGCAGGGGGCGATGTGGGGCATTCTAGTTCGTTTCCGGACGGCGTTCAAGCAAGGCTTGAATTTGACTTTTTTTTTTGATGCAATCTTCCTATTCAAGCAAGGCTTGCATTTGCCTTTTTTTTTATAGTTTCATATTGTATTAGCAAATATATTTTGCGTATTTTCTAGTTTTTTTTTTCTGGCCTTCTATTAATATACTCATCAGTTCAACACAGTTGGGTTAAATAGAAAAATGCTTCTTTTTTATAATAAAATAATTAGGAGAATAAAAAATTATAATGAAATTTAATTCATATATGGCCTTTTATTATCATATGACATAAATTAAACTTCACAATTTAAAAAAAAAATTATGATATTTTTATAGCACAGTGAATATTAAGCCCCCAAATAAATTCGTTCACAACATAGAATAAGCTCTACTTTATTCAAAAGGAACAATCAATTCCCTTAAGCAAAAGTGCTTGCAATATTCTTCCCTCCAATATTTTTACTTAAAAACATTAAAAATTTTCCTAAGTCACACCTTTAAAAAAAAAAAAAAAAACAGGACAAATAATCCACTTGCAGCCCACTTCTAATAGTAAATTTTATTTATTTATTTATTTGGGGTCAAATATTGTTTGCTAAGAGACTATCCCCACTCTCCATGAAGAAATTATTATGTGCCCACCGGACGGTCCAAAGACGAATCAGGATACGACACGTGTACACATCATCGATAAACAGTTAAAAAATGATGTGGCGCTTCCTGATTCGCCTCAGAAAGACGTCCGGTGACCATATGAATAATTTATCCTCTCCACAAAGCATATTTTTATTAAGGCTTCATTTGTAACATTTTTTTTTACTGTTTTTTGAAGCATCTTTTTAGTACAATTTTTATAGTTTAAGAAATGTGTACTAAAAAGTTATTTTTAGAAAGCAGCTTTAAAAAGTAATAAAAAAGTCTCCCAAATGTTTGATGAAGCCCAACCTATTCCAGGCTTTTGATAGTATTCCTGAGCAAGGTTTTTCATCCTCTCGAGTGAATCTTTACTTGTTGAAAGCCTGTGCTACAATTTATTTCATTTGGAGAGCAAGAAATGATAGAATTTTTGGGGGAATTATGGAATGCTCTGCCACTATCACGGCTAAGATTATAAACGCTATTTTGAAGAAAACGTCAGGTTGGAAGGATGTTTCTGAGGATCGTTTTTGCAAGGACAATGATGAATGCTGTATCATTACAGCTGGCCCTAGGACGGCCGACCCTGGCAACCAGGGCCGTTACTCTTGTGCCGTCCCTACTCACTGATCGATTGCTTCTGCACAGAGTACACTGAGTCCTTTTTAGCTTCGGCTAAGCTCGTTTTTATTCCCTAATGGGTTTTGTTTTTGTTTTCTTTCACTTTCTTTTGGAGTCTTAGATTCTCTTTTTGTTGTTGAGAATCTAGACTATAGTTTTATTTTTCACATGTAATTTCCTTTATATCAATAGAAGGGCTCTGCCCCAAATTTTCCCCAAAAAAAAAAAAATTACTGTTGTTCCTAAACCTCCCACAAAAATAATTCTTTGTTTCCATTATTTGACTAAAACTTCATGGTACCGTTCATCTGGCTTTTGTTTTATATTTTTTATGCAAAACGTAGAGGAATTGCAATGCTTGCGAAATAATTATGTTGGAGACCATTGAATTGACAGTAATGCAGTGGCTGTATTCATTTTATTCATTGGGTATCTTCACTGACCTCATTAACTATCACTAGAAAGACTTTCCAGATCAATGAGGGGCCTCTGCAACTCAATCTTATAAGGGTTGGTGTAATTTTCTCTTCTTCGATCTGAATACTTATCTTCCACAGAAATGCTGCGAACGTTTACAACGACTGCAGTTTTGATTATGTACTGTGAACTGAAAGAAATACTTCATAAATGTCTTTTTTCTTCAAAGAAAGGAGATCAAGAACTTTACTAATGAGTACGTGTAGCCTTCAGAAGCGAGATTCTCTACAAGCCAAGCAAATTATAGGCAATAAACTGATGGAAAAAGTAGTTTTGAATATTGTGTTTGAATTAATGCAGGTAGAATAAGAATGTTCTAAATATATAAGAAAAATAAGATTGAATCTGATTTGATGAAGATTTGTAATCAAATTTGGAATATGGTTGAATAAGTTTGGAAAACTATCAAAAGAATTTGAATGAGAAATTCAGTTAACTGATAAAAAGAGATTCAAATTAGGTTTCAACAAAAGTTTTTGAATCAAACTCGACATTGTCAATGGTCCTCAAACTGATTCAAAATAAAGTTGGAATTTAGATTCTAGTAAAAAAAAGATTCAAATCTAATATACAACATATGGATCATTAGAGACATAATTTTTTGATTCAAAAATTAAATGAAAATTTTATGGGTTTTATTGGAAATTTTAAAATTATTTTTAAAAAACTTAGGTTTTGTTGGGACGGTTTTTCTACTATTTTTAAAGGCAGCTTTTCCTAGTACTAGAATGATGCTTTAAGAAGCAGTAAGAAGTCAATCTCTACGAAGCCTTACTCAAATAATTGTTGAAGGCCGATTAAAACTAATTCTTTTTGATTAAAAATATTATGGTCATGATCCATTTACCCTCGTAGCAGAAAACTGTTGCATTTGAAATTATTTTCAAATTGACATAAGGTTTTATTTGGAAGCCTTTATTGGCTCATTATTATAATTGATTTAGGGAATAAGTATTATTCCTAATTAATTGATTTGATTTGAGATTTAATTGAAGATTTAATTGATGCATTTAATTAGGGGATCTATTTACATTGCACTATATTAGGGATTTGATGTTGGTATTATATTAGGAACCTTTTTTCCTCATTTACTTTGGCTGCAAAATCTATAAATAGATTCCCTTAGACACTACTCCTTCGCATAATCACATAAAAAGTCGTGTTTCTGTGTTTTGTATTGTGGTGAATTGTATTTCTGTTGTGATTGATAGCACAAACAATTAGTATTGAGAGTCGGATTTTCGGTGGGGATTTTTGAACGGCGGTTTGAAGAAACGAGAGAAAATCATTGAGACATAGATCTGGTTAGAATCAAGCAAGCGAATAGGGTTGTTGTTTTTTCCGATTGTTGCTGAGTCGGATTGGTACAAATTCCTATGTCATAAAGAAGTTAACAATTTGGTGGAAACGATGAGATCCGGTGGAGCCATTGATACATCCAGCTGTGTGGTGCAGAGGGTGTTGCATTCATCAGGTGGTTTAGCAAATCCCATCAAAATTGATATGATGACAATTTAATCGGCAAAAGAAAAATTGGCATGCGGATGTGAGGTGATAGAATGCGGCTTATGTCTCTTTGATTTTGGAGGATATTCTGGATGGCCATCCTGAAGAGATGTCTGCAGAGATTGACCTCAAGAGGAACCAAGAGTGCTTGTGGCTTGAATAAAAAATTGGTTTATTCTCAGAGATTCAAAATATAGGGTGAATGATGGTGA